TATATAGTTACAAGAATCTTAATAAAGTACTAGCGTGGCTGCTTAAGAGCAAAAAAAAAAAAAAAAAAAAAAAAAAATTAACTAAATTTCTTATTTAAAAGTGTATCAGAAAACAATTTTGAATATAGTATAAAAACACTTTAATTTTTATCTACTTATACCAGTTAATAATTAAGAAATATTTTTTGTCAGTAAATATAAAATAAAATGCCATAAAAAGAATATATTAGTTTTGTATTACAAATTTATTATAGCTGCTATAAGCTTACCTTTGAACTAATTAATATTCTTTGCAACAGTAGTACCTATAGGCATAATTTGCTAAACTCACTATTCCTTTTAGCAAAACTATTATGAAAATTGAAACATATTAGAATATCATTAAGTGGTATTATCTATACTACTTTAATTAATTTAAGCTAAATTTATTTCTATAGACACTTTTTAAAAAAGTAGTTTTAACTTAAAAAGAACAATTCTTTCAAAATTTGAATGATATAGTAGAGTCATGATAGTAAAAAAAATTTAAAAGAAAATGAAACTATACTAATGCAACTGACAAACAACAAATAGTAATACATAATAATAAGTTTAACAAAAGCAAGAAAAAACAATACATTAGTACAAAAATAATAAACTCAACTAGTTTATATTTTACTGACACTATTTGGTAGATCTGTAATTGCCTTTTTTTTGTTAGTAGTTGTTTTTTATTATATAAATATTTAGTTCAGAAAGTTGTAAATCTGTCTAGTAAAAATTGTCAAAGGTTGATTAAAAGTAATTTTGAATATCATACTATGTTACAATTTTTTATTATAAAAATTTTATAAATAAAGATGTTATGAATAACATCTTATCTAACTTATCTACAATATTTATTGAAATTTTTAAAACTCACAATATTGATAATATATTTAATAACAATAACTTTGAAAATTAAGATAATACTTGTACTTTATTGAATCAAACCAACCTTTGTTTGAACAAGCATTTAAATGAGTTTATACTAAAAAATTAACTAATAATTAAAATTATATTCATGTAATTATAAAAAGTAATAAATTAAAGAGGTATAGTGACCTAGTGAAGTGAATAGGTTGTCAACTTCCAAGTGGCAGGTTTAGAGTTTAAATCCTAGTAATGGTAAAAATTTGTAATTCTTTCTGTGTTATGGTTAACTGTCTTCTGTGATTGGTTGAGATAAGATACCTGTAATCCATGTCATATCAGCATAACTGGAAGGTCTAAGGCACTCATACAATGTTGTATGAGAAAACACAAACTGGTACTGGGTGGTGTAAACCCAAGATAAGTCCTTAGGCCATGTAAATTAAAGGAACCAGATAAGAAGATAGAAGCCTACTTGGAAGACCCAAGTAGAGAGATAACCCAAACCTTCGATAGTGCTACTATAAAGATTAGACTTATGAAATGAAGCTAGAACTTGTAAAACTGGTCAAATGTGCTAATCTTTGAAGAAGGACCAAATGAACCAACCAGGCTGTCGGAATTTCCAGGTTCTGGAGAAAAAGAGCACATATTGACAAACATGTGAACCAGAGATGTATGGTTTCGATCTATCTTTCTGGTCTATTTGAAATAGCAGCTTGGTGGAACTTGAATTGAAACCAAAGTAGTAAAGATATATTGTGAAGTCAGTACCAGGGTTGGAGTGAACTCTACAAGGGCATAGCAGTTTAATGATATGCCCTGACCGCTAGTGTTGGTCTTGGCCATAGTGATACTAGGTCAGCTGTAAGAATAGGATACAGAAGATTCTGAAAGGTTTAGTACAAGGTCAAAGATTCCTATGTGAGTGAACTGCTTTAAAGACTTAGTAATTATGACATATTTGAACCAGTATCGACCAGGACATCTTGGTAGGTATAGGTAGGTAGGTGGATATAAGAACAGAGTGGTTAAAAAGAGAATCTACAAGCAGGTTTCAGGTATGACAACTAGTATAGAACCTTCGAGTGAACTACTTAAATTAGACAATGACTAAAGTTGTATGAGTGGCTAGTTGTACACTCTTTCTATAATTACCCTCTGTGATTGTAATGCAACTATTAGCTAAATGTACTATCAATAAAATCCTGGGTCACAAGTACTTACCTTAATATTTAAAAAAAAAAAAAAGTAATAAATTATTGCAAATTGAAGAAAAGATACAGATGGTAGAATGAAAAAAAAATAACAAACTACTTGAGCTTCAAAAAACAAAAAACCATATCTAATATATTTGTCATTTCAGATGAGTCAAGTAACCATAATGATAAACCTGAATAATATTAATAATTAATGTTTTATAATTGTAAAAACTATAACTGTATACTTATATTTTTATTATTGTTTATCTTAAACTTTGAGTATTATATACAGTATTTATACAACCTATCTTATGTATACTCTCTATGTATATAATAGCAAGATAATATATTAGTTTGTAATTCTCTAATACAATTCTATACAGACTTTACAGATATCATAATAAATTTATTTTTAAAACTCTCTTTTAATAATTTTTTTTAGAATACTTAGCTTTTCTTAAACAACAATTAAAATATTAAAAATATTGTGATTTACAATTGAAATACTCAAAATAATAAAGACAGTCTTTTCTTGAGTCGAAATAAAAACTATGTCATGATGGTCACTCTAAAAAATATTTACACAATCACATGAAATGTCGATCTTGATCTAGATTCGTTGGATGAAACTGCGGCAGTGGCGCTACTCACATGACCCGTAATTTTTATGGCCGCCCTGGTCGATTCTTTTTTTAGTAAGAGGCAAATGTGGCGATGCTACTATGTATCTTATTAACGCTAATCCCTAATTACCGAAAAATTTTTGGTGGTGCTCTTGGAGTAGTTAATTTGATGGCAATGCTGGGGAAGATTGCCACAATGCGCCGTGGAGTCGATTTGACAGAGTGGCACCAAAATCGATAATTCGCAGTTTAAAAAACAATTTTTGTTCTTGCAATTCAAGTATTCAATAATATAGATCTTATCAGATTCAAATTTCAATGTCGAGGCAGTTTCTACTCTTCTAGCGCAAGAATTCAAATCTCAAGAAATGGAACAATTTATATCGATATTATAAAATTTTGTAATTATTATTAATTATTATTCAATTACGAGTATGTAAATAACTTTAAATAGCAATTATTTTATGAATGCATACGTATGTACATAAGTAGTTATACTATTGGCCGACAAGTCAATAGCCAATTGAGGTAATTTCTGCTGCGTAGAATGATCAAAGCCTCCAGATAAAATTTCATATTTTCTAGAAACTTTAGGATCGTAGTTCAATTGGCATGTCTGCCGTCAATAATAATAGCAAATCTTTAACAAATTCTAGCGCTGGGTCAAACGATTCAAACTCGAGAGGTCCAATAAATAATATGAATGGGCCACCAGTCAACAGCATAGAAAAGCCTGTAAATGCCAATCTCGCAGTTAGGCCCGCAGGCGCGCCGAAACCGCTTAATAAATTAAAAGCAGATAATAATCCATTTTTAAAGAAGCCTGTTCCCGCACATCTTATTGGAAATTTACCGAAGCATATGAGAGCGAAGGCTCTGGCAGCTTTACCACCATCACAACCGAAAGGAAACTTAACACTTAAGAAGGAATACACGATTACATCCTCAACATTGAATAAAATTAAAAAGTTAAATATAATGAGATTCCATAGCAGTCAACCAGTGGATATAACAAAATTTACAGTTCCAGTAAAACTTCAAAGACGGGATCCTGATGCGCCTCCGCAACAAACGCTGATATTGAGTCGTCAGAATCAGATTATTCCAAGTACTTCTAAAGTGACGCAACCAAACTCAACACCAGCACCTACAAGCGGAGCTGATGCATCTCTCATCGCACCATATGCTGGTGCAAGGCATAACAAAAAGAATCTCTTCAAAAAAAAAACAACACAGATATTCTTGGCTGATGATAGTCAAAGGAGGCTTAAAGCTGAAGAGAAACTGCCGTGGGTTCTAGAAGATTATGAGGGTATTACATGGATTGGTGAATATGAAGGTGGTGATAGCGCAAAGTATGGCGTTTTTTTACTAAAGGTTGTTTATTTAATATTTTATTATTGTAACCACCTGCAGTCTTGAAATTCTCTTGATCTATATATTAACGAGTTAATTATAGGGAGATAAGCTAGAATTCGTTCAGATCCATCGATTCTACACTTTCAACCGTAAGCTGAATTATAAAACACTTACAATTGAAGAGGCGGAAGAACAGGTAAAAATTAAAAAAAAAGATTGTAGTTTTATTCTCATTCGATTAGATAAAGAGTTGATGAAATTCAAGTAGTAATATTATCGTGGGCATTTTCACTAATTCCTTGTTACAAATATAAGATGGCGAAAGCTAAAAAGAGAGATAATGACAGATGGATGATGAGATCGTGGGGTAAAACTAAAAATGGTGAAGATTTAGCTGTAGTAGAAGGGGGAATATTTGATCCAAAATCTACCATAAAAGTAGTTGAAGGAGAGGAAGAATTAATCGGATCAGATGAAGAAGCAAGAATTCCCTCTAGAGAGGAATATGATGAAGAAGAAGTAGATTTTGAAGAAGTATTTGAGGATGATGAGGAAGAATTACCTGATGATGCAAATCCCCTTATTGATGACGAAACTAAGGAAGTTAGTAAGATGAAAAGGAAGGTAACGGGCAAGCACACATATGAACTCAACGAATCTGATGATGATGATGATAAATTGACGAACGAGGGAAAGCAACTCAAAAAATTGCTCAGAACTGCGGAAAATAACGACGCTTATGATAGTGATCGTGAAGATAATCCATATTTTTCAGAAAGCGAAGATTCAGAATCTGAAGGATCACCTTCACCTCAAACAAAGCCTACTGTGACGCCAACCGCAAAACTTGACAAAGCCCCAGAAAAAATAAAAGAGAAGTCAAAGACCCCTTCTAAATCAAAGGTACCAAAACCTAAAACTACGTCCCCTAAACCAAAACTTCCAGTAAAGAGCAAAGCCACCATGGGATTAAAACAAAATCTTACCGTCACCAAACCTACAATTGGCGATAAAGGTAATAATACTACGCCTGCAGCGTCTACTAGTATTCCGTCGAGTAGTGTTTCGACAATTCCGTCCAAACTTAAAATGGAGAGACCTAGAAGTCCAATAATCGAAGGATCCAGTGCACAAAAGTCCCAAACATCTGTTTCTACAAAGAATTTGGCTCAGAAATCTAAAGCATCAAAGGTTACTGTGATCGATTCAAAGTCAGGAATCACTAAAGTAGCAACCAAAAAGGTCGTTGGACCTCCTAATCAAGCCACGCAACCAATCCGTACTCGTCCTGCCGAGACTAGTTCTAAATTGGCAACCGCTACTTCCGCAAAACGATCGAGAGTTTTGGATCCAACAGAACAATCCGCAATTAAACGCGTTAAAACTGTCGATACTAAAATCAATAAATCTCGCACATCTACTGAGATTGAATCAAGTAGTATAACAAATAGTTCTACTGTAAAACGCCTAAGGGATGAGCCTGTGGCCAATAATTCAACAGCCAGTGCTCCTATTCAAAATATAAAACGAATACGTCCTTCTGATTCTAAAACAAGTGCTGATACTGTCAAGAAAACCAAACCAACTCAAAGCACTTCAAGTTCTATCGGGGCACCGAGTCGTGCAGCTGTACCAAGCCCTTCTACAAGTGTAGGCAATGACTCTCGGTTGATTTCGGAAGGAGAAATAAGGAAGCTTATTGAAACTAAACAAGTAAAGGTTGCTGATGTTATCAAGGTCTTCAAAAAAAGGATTAATGAGGACTCTCGCAACAGAGATCGTCTCCTTAACATCACAAAGAAAATCGCTCATTATAAAGATGGGTACCTTGTTTTAAAACCACAATAAATAAATGGGTTTAGATGATGGTAGTTTTAAAATGATGCAAGTCCTATTCTGGCTGTTGAAATTTTCAAAAACAAAAATAATTACATTCATAAAACATTGACTGTATTAATTATAATTACCATAAATGTCCTATTTATATACATATACATAGTAAAGTAATAAAAATACTGGTATAATCTACTCCTTTTAGTACAATCGTCGTTATATATAAATTCAACGAACTAATTAAATGATAGTACTGTATATATAGTTAGGTAATCCCCGATCACGGGAGGATTCGGAAACTTTGTTTCCGCTAATTCCCAACTAGAGAGCATGTCCTTGAGCCAGGGACAATGATTTATGTAAATCGATCTTTTTTGCAATTTTTAATGCGATGTAACAATACCAAAATTAAGTGTATAATTTAGGCCGGACGACACAAATTTGGTTAACCTGAACTGTCGGTTTCTGAAACGTAAACAAACAGAAAGCCGGTTATATTATTTACACCAAATCGTGCACTCTGATTGGCCAATATTGGTAAATCAATATGAGATTTTCGACGTTCTGAATGATCAACCACCAATCAGAATCCATGATCTGGTGTAACGTAAAACAACAAAGTTTTTTCAAAAATTGCAAATAGCATAAAATTTTGCTTATTAAATCATCTTTTGCGCAAAATTTTACTATGCAATACGATTTTCTAACTCTAAATATATGGTTTTTATCCTTTTATTTATATAAGGTCTTTGTTAGGAAAATGGAGTTCTGAGGTTCTTCTGGCCAAAATTAAGTTTTTATATATATTTTATTGTATAATAAGAACTTAGTTTGGTATTATTTTTATAATATATTGTTATAATATAAAAGTTATTTTATTTCAGATTTTTTAACAGAGATTCTTTTTTTTTTAAAAAAAAAAATATTAACGATAAGGTTAACAGAGATTCTTTTAAAAATTTAAAAATAAAATGATATATATTAATTATATGATTAATAATTATTATATGTATAATCATAAATGAGTCATTCCATAATAATAATAATTTTATTTTATTATTAAAAAAATTTTATTATATGAAAAAACTTTATATAGACTAATTTTTAAGTTTAATTTTGCTTAATACTTTTTCAAAAATACTGTAATAAAATTTTTTATATTATTATATATTTATTTTTAGCTCTATATTATATTTTATATTTTTCTTAATATTTTTATATAGTTTATAAATTATTTTATTAGTTTAATTACTTATTTAATAGATTAATATTTATTTTATTAATAGATTTCTTATAATATTTTATTTTAGTTAATAGTTGTTTGGATATTTAAAATAATAGTTATTTAGTATTACAAAGATTTTGCTTAAAAGTTTTAAATTATGTCTCAGACATTTTAAGACATTCTAAAATGATGAAACAATTAATTAATTATAGTTAATTAATATTTATTAATTATAATATAATATTTACTATAATGTTATTATATAGTTTTTATATAGTACTATAGTTATTTTTAGTTATATTTAGAATAACACCTATAAGAAAGGTTCTAAATATTAAATGATTATAGAAAATTTTATAAATAAACATATAGGTTATATAATGATATTTGTTTTATTTTTAATTAATATATAAATTATTGTATAATAGAATGTTAAGCATTGATAAAAATAAAAGAATATTATATTGATTTATCATTTCTACACAAGTATTTTTACTAAAATACACAGTATTTCTTAATTTCTGCTATATTTTGAATATCCATATAGTTTAAGATAATATTACAATACATAGTAGTTTTAAAACTAATCAATTATTAGATTAAAAGCTATAAAAAAAATAGTTTTTTGTTTTTATAAAAGAACAGTTCTTAGAAGTCTTAAAAATTATATATATATATAAAGCTTTTTATAATAATTATTTAACTAAAAACTCTTTAATAAAATAATTTTTAATTATTATTTTTTGAAAATTATTCATAAACCTATTTTTTATTTTATTTTTTATCTTATTTTTTCTTATATTTTATTTTTATTTCTTTTATTTTTTTTTTCTTATAATAATATAAAATAAAAAGCTAGTTTTCTTAATTAGTTATTTGGCAAATACTAGTTTTATATTATTTATTTTCTTTTTTTTTTTCTTATAATAATATAAAGTAAAAAGCTGATTTTCTTAATTAATTATTTGATAATTATTAGCTTTATATTATTGAAATTTAAAGATCACATATAGCTGTTAATAGTCTAATTATTAAGGCTTTTCTTCTTCTAATTATATTTTATAAACATTTCTAAGTTTTAAAGTCTAATAATTCTTATACAAAATAAACATTTTGTTATGTCTAATCTATACAGAATGAACAGTAAAATTCAGTTAAAAGCTAGTTTTATTGTTGTACCTTATAGTGCCTAAGAGACTATTAAATTTAAATTTTACTTTTATATTTTTATTTTTTATTTTTATTTATTTTTATTTATTTTATTTGTCTTTAAATAAAAGATCTTATATTCGACACTTATGCTATTAAAATTACTACAGTTTTACGCGGAAGACTGAGTTAATAATGATCAGGCTCAACATACTAGGAAGACTACAGTATCTTTCGCAGCTGTGCGAGCCGAGCTTAAAACGGTGAGCAACCTTGCAGAAACATTTTCTTATTCCTTGGATTCCAACTCTTCATCTAACTCCAAGGATCTTCCCTGCTATAATATTTTTCTTATCAATCATAATCTTCCAACTCTACCATCTAAACAAACACTACTATCTTTTACCCAACATCTAAAAAATAACTCTTTTAACAAACCTTTCAAAATCTCCATTAATAATACATTTACAGAAACACATATCTATAAAAATCTAAAATATAAACTTCTACCTAATCACACATTTCTTCCAAGTTTACATTATCATCTATATAATAACCTCCCTATTAAATTACATTTCAGATACTTAACTCCTCATACTATTTCTGATAGTACTTTCTTTAACATACATAATGATACTAATTTAAATTCATTTATTC